CCGTATCGACACTTCGACTTGCAGAGTTATGTCTGAACGCCACCTCATAGACATGGATTACTTGAGAAGGACACACTGGATCGCAGAAGATGAGCCGCTATGGAGCTTCATTAGTCACATTGGTCGGCGATGCCTTATTCCACTACCACAAACTGCTCTCACTACACTGCAGACAGACTCCCTCAGCTTCCAGCGTGATGCTACATTGCTACGATCCGTGCCAGCTACTAGGCGCCAAGGAGGATCTTCCCGAGCTGATGCTTCTGCTGCTGAGGATGCGCCTGTTGAGGGCCTTGCTGGAGGTTCCTCTCGTCGAGCGAGCGCACCATGGACGTTGCCTCCGCCGATTGGTCGACATGAGCTTCTACCGACTCCCGACATTCCGATGGAGCAGGCTACTTTTCAGCGTTATGTGGTGCAGAGTATTCAGGCGTTGTGGAACGCCGTCTTGGTGATTTCCAACTGCGGTTGTGTTCGTCCACACTCACCTGATACTGAGGATGAGGAATAGTTCCTCTAGCTATCCTGGTTACTTTTTCTTTTCTCTTTTGTTCTTTTTCATTTTCTCTTGAGTTAGTTTTTGTGTCTTTGTCTTGAGTCAGTTTGTGAGCTTTGATTATGTTTCAAAATATGTTTAAACTGATGAGATTATGGATTATGTTGTTGCTTTTAATTGTTTGCTTGAGTGTTCCTAACAGTCTTGACTTGGGAAAACTTCAGCTAACAATCTAACTTGCAACAAGTACACATGTTTGGGTCATCCCATTCTGTTTTCGGATAGGGTGTCGATCGACACCAACCATGTGGTGTCGATCGACACCACACGCAGTCACAGGTACCACTTTCTCATCTCTGTACAAACCGTTTCATTGCCTTTTTTTACCAATTCCTTGCTTGATAATACTGGGGACAGTGTTGTTTAAGTCTGGGGGAGGTCGTTGCTGATATTGTGTACATTGTTTTGTATTTATAGAGTCTCAAAGTTGAGTCAAAACCTGTTTTATTGAGTCAAAATGCATGACATTGTCAGTTTTTCTTGGAACAAACCACAAAACATTGATGCTTATAAGAACCATTGCCACAGTTGTTGATTGCAAGTCTTACTAAGTTGAAAGTCATAAGTAGATCAGTCTAGCAATGAAGGTTTAGGTTCTTAGAGAATCTGAAAAATTTGTTGTTAGCTCCACTTAAATGAACTTAAAACTTCTTGTCTTGGTGCTTGATTCTCTTTGATCTTGATTCTCTCTTCTAACACTGACAAGTATGTTAAAACACAGTTTCTCTTTGATCTTCCCTGATAGAGCTTTAAAAGTTTAAGTCAAAAGAATGGTGCATTCATGACCTTGTCTCCTCACAAGGAACAACAGTAATGAACACACTCAAGAACTTGTCTCCTCACAAGGAACATAAGTATTGAGTAGCACCATATCTTAGACTATACAAGAATAAGAAAGAGCTAAAAAAAAAAAAATTCAGAAAGAAAAGATCAAGGGAAGAGAAAATAGGAGAACTGTGTTGAGACTGCTTTGTTCAGTTGTTTATGAAGGGAAAAGAATCTATAAGTGATAGAGATGATAAAACCTTGATGAGATATCACTTAGATAGAAATAAGGAGTTTAACAGTAGAGATTTCGGATTTCTTGAAGGAGCTTGAACTGGATTTGAAAGATTTGTTAAGCCTGTGATGATTAGACTGAAATTTGATCTTGTGTTAACTCTGTGGTATGTGGATTCGAAGGTGTTAATCAATGTGGTGTTCCTGATGTCTGACTGACTTTTTCTGTGTTTTCAAACCTCTACTCTAGGCTATGTCTGATGTTTGCTTGAGGGCAAGCAAAAGATAAGTCTGGGGGAGTTGATATATCATGGTTTTTGCTGGTTTTCGACCATGATATAAGTCTTGTTTATAGATTCTTTTTGGTATTTTTCGAGTCCTACAGAGTCTTTGTAGGTCTAGGTACAAATGGAGCATAATTGTGGATTTTGGAACCTTTTGGAGCTATACTGAAGTTGATGCTGAAAGGACCAAGTCGAAGGGCATTAAGGAGCAGGGTGTCGATCGACACCCACTACTTGGTGTCCATCGACATCGGCCGTGGTCGCGAAGGAGCATAAAAACTCATTGGAAGAAATTTGCAACTTGGCCCAGAAGTTTCCCACTATTTTCACTTTTGCCCCAGTTGGTGTTTAAACTTGTATTTAGGGTTTTTTTAAGCCATTGTGAGGCATTCATCTTGTTATCATTGAGACTAAGAGAGAGATTAGATTGAGAGCTTTTGGGGAGACAAATCCATACTCTGTAGAGAAGAATTTCGAACCCCTTCATCTTTTACTCTATTTTCTTAATGCAATTTTATTCAGTCATGATTTGTGTTTCACTTGCTATGTCTGAATAATCTGCTAGTTAGGTTTTGGGTTATTCAAAGGTTGATAATGAATTGTTAGAATTACAGAACTGGAAGGATAAATCTTTTGGTTCTTCATCTAGATTGCTTTAACACTGGTTTTAAGATTGATCACCTAGAAATCAGATCTTAGGTTGTTTAATAGATGTGGAAACATTGTTAATCACCAGAATTATCTTAGATGAGCAAAATAACTAGTTGCAAAGGAATTTGGATTAGTGATTTCGTGAACATATCGAACTTGATCTATAATGCATGTTTAGGTTGTTAGAATTTGCAAAGGAATTTAGAATTCTAGAATCTGATCATAGTTAATCTCTGCGATGGAAGTCGGTTGGTTTTACATTAGTGTTTCGAGTTCTAGAACGGTTTTAATAAATATTCTTTTCAGTCCGTAGTCTGCGATTTATGTCAACCTATGAATTTCCCATTGCCTAGCGTCTTGTCTTCATTGATTTTAAGAACCTACAATCCGCCCCTGACATCATTGCTTTTGTTGTTATTTTAATTTCATTTCATTATTGATTTCTTAACTTTATTTGAATCTAAAATCTGTTGAGTGATAGCCTTAAGTCCTTGTGGACTCGATCCCTAAGTACTATAGTGATCTCTTAATTTGAGAGAGTAGTTCTAAGGGTTAATTTGAGCATATCAACGTGGATGATCTGGTGATTAGTGACAGTGATCCAAAGCTCACTTCCAGATTCAAAACGCATTTGAGTGAGTGTTTCAAGATGAAGGATTTGGGTCCTATATTTTCTAGGTCTTGAAGTCTCTCGGGTTAAACAGGGTATTTATTTTTGTCAACGAAAATATACATTTGATGTTATTTCTGAGTGTGGTTTACTTGGCTCTCAGCCGGCTGCTTTTCCAATGGAGCAAAATTACAATCTTGCTAAGGCGGATGGTGATCTTTATCTACATCCCGATAAGTGTAGACACCTTATTGGGCGCCTTGTTACTTAGTCATCCCTCGTCCGGAGCTTAGCTACGCTGTACACACATGGGCTCAACTTATGCAGGCTCCTCGTACTCGTCAGTGGGAAGCTGCTTTGCGAGTGGTCTGTTACCTTAAAGGTTATCTTGGTCGTGGAATCCATCTCAATTCTGCTGATGATCTTACTCATACTTCTTATTGTGACTCTGATTGGGCATCTTGTCCTCTTATACGATGCTCGTTGACGGGTTATGTTGTTATGCTTGGGGGGTTCAATTGTGTCATGGAAGACAAAGAAGCAACAGACAGTGTCACGCTCTTCAGCTGAAGCGGAGTAATGGGCAATGGCGATGACATTTAGTAAGCTAACATGGGTGATTTTGTTGTTAAAAACACTCAGTGTCTCTCAGACTAAACCGATTCTATTATTTTGTGATATCAGGCGGCACTTTGCATCGCCAATAACCCGATTTTTCATGAGAAGACCAAACACATTGAGGCAGATTACCAGTATGTTCGTGATGGCGTTCAAGTGAAAATTATTGAGACGAAGTATATTCGGACAACAGAACAGGTTGCGGACATTTTCACCAAAGTTTTAGACGGCCAACAGGTCCTTTATCTACTTGGCAATCTAGGTGTTTGGGATATTTGGGAGGAGGGGGAGGAGGGAGGAAGTATTAGGATTCAGATATATCACATTATGATATTATTTTTAATAATGATAAATATTAGTAATATATGGATAGATTCTAGCTAGTACGGTATGAGTCAATCCTTGTAAATACGCTCTTGGTTGTACATAAAATTAGAATACACAAGAATTTCATCTTCTTTTGGCAAGGAACTTACACAAGATATTCATAGAGATGGGGGAAAAAATCATTGGGTTTGAGCATATCATTACCAGAATAAAAGATTTCAAGTTTGGACAGCTCTTGAGAAAGGTTGGTAAACATTTCAAATCAGATACACAGAGAGTAACATACAGTCGGGATATGCAGTGAAAATGAGGCAGCGATTCTAAACTGGAATAGTCATGAATGACATGAAACCAAACATAAATCATTTGTGGGGGTTAGAAATTTTTCATTATAGAAAATACGTATTACATTTAATTATACCTTGAAAGTGTCGGCAGCTATCGTGGTATCACAGGGATCCCGGGAAGAAAGCTGCGGATGCGACTTCCCAGCTGAAAAACTTGCATCATCGAAAGGCTTCTGTAAAATTTTGTAATATATTTTCTAAAATTTTATTTTTTGTGAATATTTTTTTCTTAATCTTCTTTTTATAAAATTAAAACTCAAAATCAGTAAATCAATACAGTATATTAAAAAACTACTAAACCCATTACAACAAAACTTAATATAAACCCACATCATTTTGTATATTTGTAATTAGACGATATTACTTTAATAAATTAATGAATTTTTCTAATAATGTAATGACATAATTAATAAATATCGTATAATTTTTGAGCATTTTAAAATAATGCTTCTCTTTTAATTGTATAAAAAAAATTATTTTTAAATTATGTCATATAAATGTCCAAAATATCTCTATATAAAAGCTCATATAAAAAAAAATTAGATCTTCTATAATTTTTGTGTTTTGTAAAATCTATATGTACAAAATATATTAAAACCCATAAAAATTCAAATTTGAAAACCTATAAATAAAATAGAAAGTTACTGATATGGGTACAACTTCATTAGAGAGAATTATATATATATATATATATATATATATATGATTTCTTGTGTGGCAAGAGAGCTTTAATTCCTACATCGAACTGATTAAACAAAACGCAATCTTCTTCACATGTTCTCTCTGCGCTTTACCAATCAGATGATGACGACGACTTGACAATCAGATTTTTTGCTGGTCAACTTGTTACACATATATACATAACAAAGACAAGAAATTTTTTGAGTTAGCTATATATGTCATCAAATGCTTGACGTAACAATCAATAATCGAAATAAAATCAGTAATTAGTAGTGATATACACATAAGAAAGACATACTATTCTTTTATTTTTTTGAAAAGATTACACATATATACTCAATTCGCTTTTTCCTATTATAATCAGAAACCCTTAAATAGTGCCTTACAAGTTTCACTGTCCGGTTAAGAGAATATGAGGAACAAACAAAAATGAGTATTAAACTTGTTCCATAAACAACAACAACAACAACAATTTCTTGCAAAAGTATCTTATAAGAGTTTCATCTCTATTTTACTCCAAAGAAACAAACACAAGAAACACACTCAACGTGCATTTCTTGTGGGGCATGAGAATTTCCACATCAAACTGATTTATGAAAAAGACAATCTTCACATGTTCTCTCTCAGCATTTACCAATCAGTTGACAACGATTTGACAGGTGGCAGAGCGTCTTGGGATTTTGAGAAGCTCCTTGGCGATGTCAATGTCATCGTCTACGGAACTATGGTTCACATGTAGAGTGACTTTCTTGAGGATTGCAGCATTCTCTATGAAGTACTTTACCAGCTTCATTTCTGGAGCACATTCTGCACATCTCGAGATGTCGGTCTTGATATCAACAAACTTGAGCGATGACAACAGACATTCAGGAACAATAGATGAAAAAGTGATACGATCAATTTCCTCAGAAGGCATTTCTTCATAAACATCTAACCCCTGAAGAAACTAGTTGATTTAAACGGGATGAGGAATAACACACATTCATAAGTTTTATAAAGATGGAAAAAAAATGTATTTGGGTTGAGCAGATCATTACCACGATGAGGTACTTCAGTTTCGGGCAGCTCCGAAGAAAGGTTGGTAAACCTTTCAAGTCGGCTTCACAGATTGTAACAGCCATGCAGGACACGTTAGGTAACTGAAGCCGCGGTTCTATTATGGCATAGTCATTGATGAGCTGAAACCAAACAGAAAGTATTAATTTGTGGAGTTTTCATTAATTATTAAAAAAAAAGTGAAAATGAGCACACGTGTATGTATATACCTTGAAAGCGTCTGTTTCTACTGACATATACCTGACCCTCGAGATCCCGGGTAGAAAACTGCGGACGCGACTTCTCCACGATGCAACGCTTGCTTCATGCATACCAAAATCGAGAGAAATACCTAAGCTGGCGTTGGACTCCAGATTTTTTATTTCAATGGTGTTTGATACGTTATCGTAGATGCTTAAACGGCATAGTAGAGGGGCATCAACCACAACTTCCGAAACAAAATCAACCTGGACAGGAGAACCTCTCATAAAAAAGAACTTCCTCAGTGACCGAGAGTGCACCCGATAGGACTTTGCATCATTCCCAGCTACGACAACATTTAAAAAGTCCAGGACAGGGCATGATGAGACAAGCTTCTCAAAAGTGGCCTCATTGGGATACAAAATATGTTTCAAGTCCATTGTCGTGAGACAAGGGAAGGAAACAAACTCGGCATCAGCCATTTTCGCCCGAGAGAGTTTTAAGCACACCAATGTCTTACAGGTGTAGAGGCTTATGGGGATCTCACAAAGATACTCATTTAGATGACGCTCAACATCTAGGTGCTGGACCTTGCGTTTAACTGCAGCATCAATCCATGAAGTGAGATAAGAGGTATCTTCTTCATCGTTTCCATCTCCGTGAATATCTAAGATGATTTCGTGTATGGATGAAGTCCTACTGGTGTCAAAAAACTTGTCACCAAAAGTCTTAAAGCCATTGAAATCTGGGAATTGCCGGGAGCTCAATTCCAAACTTGGAACCCAAAGCCAGTGACTCTTCCATTTAGGGGAGACAGAGCTTGTCCTCACAGCATCTTTTATGGAGAGATGAGAGAGGATGCCACAGATCAAAGGATCTGGTAACTGGCCTATCCCATCTTCATTCAATCTATGACCTAACTCTCTGGAACTGGCCATGTCCTTTCTCCTGTAGAAACCTATTTAGAACAACATAAATTTGAAAAAGACAAGTGCTTCAGAGAGACAAAAGTATGTAAATACAACCAAAACTAATCAACCCTATCCTTTAGTTCTAATTCCAGAGAAGGGAAGTACCAAAATCCACATTGAACCAAACGATATCTATAAAGTATATTCAGGGTGACATATGCATAAGAAAATCCCGAGAGAAAGAGACGACTCTACGCCAAACCACATTGAGACTATTCAAATCAAGCTAGGGGTTCTATGGCCTTATGAAACTATAGATCAAGAACAAAAACCCTATCCTGAAGTTCAAATAATTGAAAAAGACAAGTGTTATAGAGAGACAAAAGCGAACCAAAACTAATCAACCTTATCCTTAAGTTCAAATTTCAAAATCAACATTGAACCAAGCGAGATTCATAAAGTATATAACACCAACATCGGCCGTAAGACGTAAATTCATAGTGACATATGCATAAGAAAAGCCCGAGAGAGAGAGACGACTACATACGCCGAACCACAATAAGACTATTCAAATAAGGCTAGGGTTTCTATGGTCTAATGGAAATGACTATAGTAAGAAGAAGAAGAAGAAGAAGAAGAAGAAGAAGTACACACCTTGTTGTGGCTGAATGAAATACGGACAATTGCACTAGCTTGCGTGCAACTCCAAAACAGATATTGAGAAGACTGAGAGAGAGAGAAGAACTTAAAATCACATGCAATGCTTCTTAGGTTAGGGTTTTCCAAGGTTTCAGTAAAATCAAGGAAATGAGGTTAATATAAAGAAGAAGAAGAACACACCGGAATGGCCGCTCGAGTGGCTAAGACACGTCACACGTGGAAGATCAAAACCCCATAAAATCCTATAATTCCTTTTTCGGTTGCCACACTCATGCTTCTTATCCTATGATCTAACTCAAATAGAAATAATCTATCTGAATAGTAAATATTATAATTTGACAGGTAAAAAATATTAAAAATTAATATTACTTATAGTGGAATACTAATAAATGGTAAATGACCGGTAGTAAATTAACTAAATTGACATAGGGTATTTCAGAATCCAAACATTAAAATATTTGACCATCATTTTTCTCCGTTTTACCTTCACGCACTATACAACTTACTATCAGAAAAACCTACATTCAAAATTATCAATAGATATCTACGTGGTGTCTATCCAAAATTAATAATTAAATACCTAGACACATATATATCGTATTCTTCTTTTAATTAACACATCTTTCCAATTCACTTTTGCAATATCACTTTCATCTTCTTCCGACACTGCTTTTATCTTTTTCAGCCAACAATTTCTTGATTTTCTCCATCAACAATTTTTTGATATATATACATATATTCTCTCGTGTGATCTTCCTCTCCAAATCTCTTAACTTTTCTTTCTAGATCTCAACAATTTAGCAGATCTGGTGAGATTCCAAAAGAAACATGGTTAAAGGTGAAGAATTTTGCCCCATCCGATCTTTTATCAAACAAATATTTTGATTTGATGTCTAAACATTTTAGAGAACTCAGATCTATCTTCGGTATTCACAATCTCTCTTTTAATTGTTTATGCAATCACACACTATTTATAAATATACATGTCTAAAATAATAAATAACACATGGTTTCCTACATAATAATAAATACATGTATATATAATAAAATGTAAAGTTATATGTTTTCTTAACATGTTAACTTGTTTTTTTCATGTAATTTATATCTATAATTTTATATTAAGGTCTAAAATAATCAATATATGTCTATATTGTTAAATATAAAGTTACTAGGTGATCGGCCTACACCATGTGCAGGCAATAAAATATTTTACATCTTCAATTATAATTAATATAGTATTGAAGATATTTTATTTGTATATAATTAATTATGTATTAATAATAAAATAATAAACATTTAATAATAAAAAATAACGATAAGTTAAATATAAAATATTATATATTTTATTAGAAAATGAAGATAAAAATATTAACTAAGATTTTATAATAGTTCTTTGGATAAAAAAAATGTAAATATGATAACTAAATAAATGGGAAAACAAAATATATAATAATTTATTTATTTTTATTTTTGGTCCACATGCATTTGCAAGTATAATTTGTTTATAGATATAACTAATTGTAATATTTAAATATTAAATAATTTTTTATACATTATGTATATGTTATGTTTTTATATATATACAAAAGTTTCATATCTTTTTGTGTCTTTTGAAAACTTTTTTATTTTTTTCTAGCGTTTACAGTAACATATATTTACAAATGTAAAAATTATATTAAATAATGATTGAATTCTTATAATATGTTTTGAATATTATCCATTTAATACTTTTTTCTCTTTACATAATCTTGCGAATATATATATTTTAAGTATACTTTTTATTTGACCTTTTTCTAATTAAACTAAAATGAATTTTACCATATTTATTTATCCTAAGAGCGAGTAGATGGTTGGCCTGCACATTCGTGCGTATCAACCACCTCACCGCTCTTAAGACATATAAAGATTTTTTTAAAAAAATAAATTATCTAACGACTAAAATTAAAATTATAGTGTAATCTAGGTTTACAAAATGTATGCACGACAAGTTTTTATGCGAGTTTTAGTTTTGCACAATTAATATTTATATCTACACGCATATTTATAAAAATATCGAAGTATGATTTTTATGTGTTAAAAAAAAATAACAAAATATATGTTTTGTAATATATTTTTTTATAATATATGAAACAGATCAAATAGGAACAGAACAACTCTTAATTTGTGGAAGAAATTATAAATTAAAATAATAACAACTTTTGTTTTTCCTCTAAATTAGAAGATTTAAAATAAAGGTGAGTTTTTTTTGTCAACAAATAAATAAAGGTGAGTTAGAGATGCTTTAAACCAAAATATAGTCTGAGATTTTTACATAAATTCAATGTCACAAATATTAATTTTTATTTTTACTTGTACTTTTTATTCATATATATATAATATTATAATAAAAAAGTTAGCTAAGATGATACTTAAAATTTATTTTTCTGTCTGTTTATTTTTTGTTTCATTTAATATTTTGAATTATAGCTATATAATGAGAATTCATTCATATATGATATAAACTATTTTTTCTTATTTAAAAATGAGATTTGTTTAGTTTTAAGTTGACCAATCAAAATATTTCGTTTATTTTAAGAAATTTGCCATGTCACATTTATGAGGTGGCATTGTTTTGCACTAACTTTTGTTATGCAAGCGACACATCAGCTGTTTTTAGTAAATGTGCTTGTCAAATAATGTATAGGATATGTAATCTTAACTTATTAACTTATTTATTTTATTGGGTAAGCTATATCTATAAATTTATATATAAGTCTAAAATAATAAATACATATATATATATTTTTTTTTTAAATATCAAGCTATATGTTTTTTTAACATCTTAACTTATTTATTATGTCATGTTAATATAAATCTATATCTATAGTATTTCATTTAATTTTTTAATTTTATTCATATTAACTTTAGTATTAGTGTATAGATGTTCCATATATATGTATCTGTGTATAATACGATATAGCATTAATTTTATAGTATAATTTAAGTATAATACAATATATTATTATTGGAGGCAGTTCCCCGAACATTGTATATAACCAAACATATAACAGCTCACTTCAATTGATTAATTTATCCATATCCATTTAATTCAATAAGAAAACCACGCGCGTACGATAACATGAGAGGTAATTAACTGAAGCAACAAATTTCTTTTTGGCATCCTTGAGCTATTTTCTTCTAGCGTATAAGTTTCCTGTTATTTCCCTAATAAAAACCCCAAACTTAGCTATCTAAACCTCTCTACCTTTACTATCTTTTACTTATAAAGGTGTGAAACTGGACCATCGAGAATAAATTAATTAATTAATTAATACCAATTACTTGAGAAAGGTTGGTAACCATTTCAAATCAGATTACAAGAAGATTTTATGCAAACATTTGACCAAACTGAGACGAATTATATCGATTTGGCAATTCATCTCCTCGGAATGTAGCTCATGCACGTAGCGATCACAGCATCAATCCATGAAGTGACATAAGACGTATCAAGCAACATCAGTACGTAACCGGAGTTCATATCATCATATGTATGCATAAAAGCTTTTCACAAACATCAAACAATTAGCGTAAATCAAAGGGTGAAAGCTATACATTATTAAATATGAGATATTCTAGTTTTGGATAGCTCTCAATAATGGTTGGCAACATTAATTCAAAATCCAAATTAGAAAAAAAAAATTAGCATTCAAACGGGATATATAGATTACAAAACTGAAGCAAGGGTCCCGATTTGGAGTGTAAAAAGAAGTACTGATAAGAGATGTACCAAAGAAAAAAATAAAAGATATTATTTAGAAAACAATTCGTGATGATTTGCTTAAAGACTTGTGTTGCAAGATATTGCATTTTGGAGACGATATAGGTCTGACTCTGAGGCCCAATTTTACAGAACATTAATGCCTGGTTGTGAGATTAAGGAACATAGAGCAACAAACTTGATTGCACAAACATACGAAAGAGCCTAAACCTGTGTATCTTGTGTGGCAAGAGCATCCGACACAAACTGATTCAATCAAAAAGACAGTCTTCTTCACATGTTCTATCTAAACATTACCAATCAGATGACGACGACTTGACACATTGAAGAGCGTCTTGGGATTTTGAGGAGCTCCTTGGAGATGTCAGAGCCAGTCGAACCATGGTTCACATGTAGAGTGAGTCTCTTGAGGATTGTTGTATTCTCTATGAAGTACTTTACCAGCTTCATCATCTCTGAAGCATATCCTGAGATTGGGGACTCGAAATTGACAAACTCGAGCGAGGATAACAGGCATTCAGGAACAGATGAAAAGCTCATTTGATTCATCTCCTCAGAACGCATTTCTTTATAATCATCTAACGCCTGAGGAAAACGCAATGAGGAATTTACACAAGAGTTTCATAGAGATGGAAAAAAATATCATTGGGTTTGAGCATATCATTACCAGGATAAGGGATTTCAAGTTCGGGCAGCTAATAAGAAAGGTTGGTAAACATTTCAAATCGGATACGCAGAGAGTAACACACAGTCGGGACATGCAGTGAAACTGAGGCAGCGATTCTAAATTGGAATAGTCATGAATGACCTGAAACCAAACATAAACCATTTGTGGGGTTTAGAAATTTTTCATTATAGAAAATGTGCATTACATTTAATTATACCTTGAAAGTGTCGGCAGCTATCGTCATATCCCCGACCCTCCGGATCACGGGAAGAAAGCTGCGGATGCGACTTCTCCCGGCTGAAACACTCGCATCATCGAAAGGCTTCTCTGAACCAAGGTGGAGAGAAATATCCAACTTGGTAATGGACTCCAGATTGTTTACTAGAAAGCTATTTGATACGTGATCAACGATGCTTAAACAGCCTAGTAGAGGAGCATCAATCTCAGTTCCTAAAACAGAATCAACCTTGGTAGTGTCAAATCGTACAAACGTGAGCTTCTTCAATGACCGAGAGTGCACTCGATAGAATTTTGCAACATTCCAATCTACGTAGACTTTTAACTCGTCCAGGACAGGGGAGAATGAGACAAGCCTCTCGAAAGTGGACTCATTGGGATATAGTATACGATCCAGATGCATAGTCTTGAGACAAGGTAAAGAAACGAACTCTGCATCAGGCAAGTCCACCCAACTAAGTTTTAAGAACACCAGTGTCTCACAGGTAAAAATGCTACTGGGAATCTCATCAATATAAAGAACATGTAGATCTAGATGTTGGATCTTCCGCTTAACTGCAGCATCAACCCATGACTTGAGATAAGGGTACTCAGAGCCTCTTCCAAGATCTAACCTGAGTTTGCGTATCAATGAAACCCTATTGGAATCGAAAAACCTGTCGCCAAAACTCACAAAGTCATCACGATTTGGGGAATTTGGGAATTTGTCAGAGTCTAAGTCCAATTCAGGAACCCAAAGCCAGAGACTTCTCCATCCAGAGGATAAAGCGCTTGTAGAAACAGCTTCATTTATGGGAAGATGAGAAAGGATATGGCATATCAGAGGATCAGGCAACTCGCTTATCCTATCCTCCTTCAACCTCGGATTCGACCCTTTGGAACGAGCCTTCTTCGATTTCCCTCTACCAAACATGTATTGATACTTATGTAGAAAACTTTTCTGCATGATAAAAACTGCAAAACGAAAATTTTTAGAGAGACAAAAGTATTGCGTGCGAGGTGACCAACCTAATCTCTCAAACAAAGAAAAAAGGAAGCCCTAGAATACCAATCTGATATAGGAAGTAATAAGAGATGTGAGATGATGACACGTAGAGGGCTCAATGGACGGCTGAGTTTATTGTGGAGTCCAAGAGTGAAAGTGTTAAAAAAAAATGCAGAAACAGTTTTGGGAGATGCGAATTGTTGTTTTGTTCATCTAACATGTTTGAAGATCTTTTCTTCCTCCTCCTGCAATTTGAACAAGGAATTGTTGTATTAGGAACATCAATTTCCTTTATCGTAATCCCACAATGTACATCCCAAAAGTTATTGCTCCATTCTTAAACAAGAGAACGTAATGAAAACGGTGGGAAATGTTTGAGGAACAAGAGACGAACCTAAACCCAAGCGAGAGGAGAGTCGAATCGAAATTCGTTAGGTTTTAAATTGCAGACTGATTCGGAAACCCTTATACGGTCGTGTGTGAGAGTGAAGATGGTGTCAACGGCTTCTAGGCCTATTGGGCTCAGTTTTAGTTAGCCCATTAATCCTTGTAAGTTTATTTGTAGCAATTTAGCAAAGGAGAAGAGGGACTAAATACTGCAATTTTATTGGTTGAAAAGTAATACACAGATGAGAATAGCTATCACTCCTATAATCTAGAAAATATAGTTCAATCGTTGATATATGCTAATCTACCCAAACTATGTCATTAGCTCAACAATATAAACATATGACCGTATCCCAGTATAATAACTTTCGAAAATGATCGTATTAAAAACTTTTGTTGCAAGATATTGAATTTTGGAGACGAAAGATGTGTAGACATTGTAGGTTTGAGGCCCCAATTTTGCAGAACATGAATGAGATATTAAGGAACATAGAGTAACAAACTTGATTGCACAAACATACGAAAGAGACTAAACCTACATTTCTTGTGTGGCAAGAGAGGTTTAGTTCCTATACATCAACTAGTAATACTAAACTTTTGCTATTAAAATTTTAAATTAAATGCCCGCTAATGGTTCAATTTAGCTATAAACCTCTGGAACTTTGGTAGAACTTCAGAAGCCAAAGAGCAAAATAACAAAAGCTAATAAATATCAGTTTCACCTGACAAGTTATTAAGTAATACTACACCTAGATTGTCTTTATACTAAGTAGGGGTTATTGGTTCTTGTATTTTGGTAGATTTAGAAATCTTTTTTGGATTTGATAAATTTATTGATTTCAAAATCAGCAAAATAGAAAAAAATCAAATCCAATCAAATACCAAGGTTAGACCTTGTATTTGAGTCTTTATATTTTAGTCATGAAAATCCTTCCAAATCCATTCAAATTCAATTAAAACTCAAATATTTATAATATTTAGATTTTAAAATGATAGAACCAATAACACTGTATTTCATTATGGATTTTAAAATCATAGAACCACTAACACTGTATTTAATATAGATTTTAAAATACAAGAACCAACCAATAACACTGAATTTGGTTTGGATTCTCAAATTCATTAAAATATAAGAACCAATAATACCTCCTAAATCATCACAATGATTCTTCTCTTTCTAGTACAACATAAGAATCTTGAAAAGTATCATCTCACGCTCCAAAAGACAAAAAATGATACACATCATATTTTCAGGAGACGAAATATATAGAGATAATAGGTTTAAGGCCCAATTTTGCAGAAAATTAATGCCTGTTTATGAGATTAAGTAACATAGAGTAACAAACATACGAAAGAGCCTAAACCTGTGTATCTTGTGCGGCAAGAGCGTACGTCCTACACAAACTGATTCAATCAAAAAAGACAGTCTTCTTCACATTTTCTCTCTAAACATTACCAATCAGATGACGACGACTTGACACGTTGCAGAGCGTCTTGGGATTTTGAGGAGCTCCTTGGAGATGTCAGAGCCAGTCGAACCATGGTTCACATGCAGAGTGAGTCTCTTGAGGATTGTTGTATTCTCTAGGAAGTACTTTACCAGCTTCATCTCTGAAGCATATCCTGAGATTAGGGACTCGAAATCGACAAACTCGAGCGACGATAACAGACATTCAGGAACAGATGAAAAGCTCATTTGATCATAACGCATTTCTTTATAATCATCTAACCCCTGAGGAAAACAGAGGATTAAAACACGCGATGAGGAATTTACACAAGAGTTCCATAGAGATTTGAGATAAATAAAAATCATTGGGTTTGGGCAGATCATTACCAAGATGATGGATTTCAAGTTCGGGCAGCTCTCAAGAAAGGTTGGTAAGAATATCAAATCGGATACACAGAGATTAACATACAGTCGGGACATGCAGGGAAACTGAGGCAGCGGTTCATATTTGGAATAGTCATGAATGACCTGAAACCAAACAGAAATCATTAGTGGCTTTAGAAAGTTTCATTATAGAAAATGAGCATAAGTCCAAATATACCTTAAAAGTGTCGGCAAATATCTTCATATCATTGACCCTCGGGATCCCGGGAAGAAAGCTGCGGATGCGACTTCTCCCGGCTAAAGGCTTCTTTGAACCAAGGCGGAGAGAAATATCCAACTTGACAATGGACTCCAGATTTTTTACTACAAAGCTATTTGATATTTTGTCAACGATGCTTAAACAGCCTAGTACAGGAGCATCAACCTCAGCTCCCAAAACAGAATCAACAGTAGAAAATCGTACAAACGTGAGCTTCTTCAGTGACTGAGAACGCATCCGATATAATCCTGCATCATTGCTAGCTACAGTAACCTCTAACTCGTCCAGGACAGGGCAGGATGAGACAAGTCTCTCGAAAGCTGCCTCGTTGGGATATGATATTCGATCCATGTGCATAGTCTTGAGACAAGGCAAAGAAACGAACTCTGCATCAGGCAAGGCCACCCAACTAAGTCTCAAGACCACCAGTGTCTCACAGGTGAAAATGCTTAGGGGCATCTCATAAACATATTGAACATGTAGATCTAGATGTTGGATCTTCCGCTTCACTGCAGCATCAATCCATGGCTTGAGGAAAGGGTACACAGAGCCTCCTCCAATTTCTAACTTGAGTTTGCGTATAAATGAAACCCTACTGGAATCGAAAAACCTGTTGCCAAAACTCACAAACTCATCAGGATCTGGGAATTTGTAAGAGTCTAAGTCCAACTCAGGAACCCAACGCCAGAGACTCGTCCATCTATTGGATAAAACGCTTGTCTTCACAGCTTCCTTTATGGGAAGATGAGAAAGGATGTCACAGATCAGAGGATCAGGCAACTGGCTTATCCTGTCTTCCTTGAATCTATGGGAACGAGCTTGTTCCGTTTTCTCTTTTTCACCAACCATCTTCTTCTTTTCTTCTGTAGAAAAACTTTTCACAAGAACGAAAACCTGCAAACCGAAAGTTTCAAAGAGAGAAAATTTAGATGCAAAAGGTAACAGAGAGACATCTCAACTTCAGTTCGACTTGTAATCAAAACTCTCCTAACTTGCACTAATTCAAGAGAGAACTTTCAAAATCCCTAATGAACCAAATGAAACCCATAAAGGAAAATCAACACTCGCCGGAAGACGAACAAGACTCAAAACATTCATCTTTTATACAGGCAGCACAAGTGAGAGAGAGAGAGAGAGATGGAGAAACTAAACCTGTAAACCACATTGCGACTAGTCAAGGACAGGGTTAGGGTTATCAAGGTCTTGTGAAGCTGATTTTACAACAAAAGATGATGATGATACAAAGAAAATGTAAAAAGGGTCAAGTAATAAGAAGATGAACCTTCAGTTTTTTGGCCGGCCCGGAATGTAATCACCTGCCGGAACTGTAAGGATCGTGATTTCGCCGACGACGGTAGTGGAAGCACTTACAATGGAGTTGGAAACTGGGAATCGAACATAGCAACTCAAATTGGGCCGAAAAAGGATTTGTGAATGGGCCGCAATTGACATGACCATACCATATCCTTCTAACTTTCGTTCGTTTGTTTGTCAACGTTTTTTTTACCTGTCAACAAAATGTTTTTTTATTTATTATAAGAGTAAAAATTGCTATTTTGACACGTTTATTTATTTCTTTGTCAACAAAATATAAGAAAAATTGTGGAAAATTGGGTATATAATCATAACAACGGCCGAAATTCATCAAAATAACTATAACAAAACTATAGTTATGATATTCTGTATATCAATACAACAATAACATTCAAGTCTCTCCATAAAATGACATATCAGTTTTTTCAAGCTTTTTAAAGTTGACATCTCTGCAAAAAAAAAAATCTTCAATCAAAATATTTTATTAATACACATTATTTACTAACTTTTATTATTTTTAATTTAAATCCATTAAAAACCAAAATATTTTTCTTTGTTAATTTTAGTTTTATTTTTTGCTCAATCCAAGCCTGTAAAAACTCAAGTTCGATCTACTAAAGAACTAGGTTTGTGGGTTTAAAGAGAAGTCTTTTATTAGAAGAAGCCGGAGCTTGAATGAATACACGGGGGTTTAGGTCGTCGGAATAAGAACGCCGACCTAAACTTTTATGGAAAGTAAATCGAAAGCTAGAACAATCAGATTGCTTAGTTTGCCCTAGGTCTCGATAGATGATTTTTAGATGGGTTGAGGAGTCGAGGACTTCCTATATTTATAGCCTATCAGGTCGGTCTTCAATCTGCTTGGAATAGGGAACTCATATCGGCAAGGAGTTTCCTTTTTCCCCGGGTCGCTCGATAAATGGAAGATTTCCTTTTATGTTGTCGACTAGAATTCGTATCGGGCTTGTTAGAGACGGTACGGATCTCATCTCTAACAGTAAGTCCCCCCCCAGTTTGGCAAGTGAGGGTACATTACTTGGTGAACTTCATGATGTATTGCTTGATATGCATTCTGGTCGGCTATAAAAACGAGTTAGAATAAAAATGAAATTATTACCTAGACTTCTGATCGGCGCAGTGATGAGGGCCAGATTGTGATTTTGGGCGCGAAAAGTTCCCGCCTAAAAATGATGTAGGCTAGGCCCAGGCCCGCGTATGCAGAACTAGGGTTGACACGTGTCAAACCCTAGCATGTGAAGGTGAAGAAGCCGATTAAAATTTAATAAGAAGAAATGTGGAGAGTCGCCGTGCTCATGATGATTCTCGGTAACTGTCCAGATATTTCTATAAATAAGGGGGTTCGGCTTCAATTTCCTCACTTCTGCATTTCTAGCGAAACTCTGTCAAAATCAGGTTTGCTCTTTCCCCTCTCCCTTCTTTTGTTTAGATTTTTAGACCTGCCGACTAGACCTCCGCCGTGTTTCGTTCTGAACGCCGATCAAGCATGGGTAAAAGCATTCAAAT